TGGGCTGGGATGCACACAAAGGGCAGTCTATTTGGGAGGTATGTCTGGTATCCTTTCTGTTTTATCTGTTCATCATAATTATCATACTAATTATCTTTTTATTTGGTTGTTGTTTTGCTGAAATCTTGTTTTTTTTTCAATAGTTTACCCTCTCATTCATGCTTTCTGTTAAATCTTTTCGTGCTATTGTGTACTGTCTTTCGCTCCGTTTTCTGTAGTCCGTTTTATGCCCTACATATCATTAAGTTGGTATCAAACTCTCTCCCATGGACATCACAAACTCTCTCTCATTTGAATATGCAAATCAACCGCCAACCTTTCAACCACAAGTACAAATATCCATAACACTTCCTCTCCTCTCCCTCGTTTCCCACAGGTGTCTTCCCTCACATCCTCGAATTACCTGACGTGGACTCTCTCCCTCGACGGCAAACCCACGGTGGTCGTAGGTCACGGGTCTTCCTTCACCGAAATCACAGGTGGTCAGGTCAGCTTCTCGAACCTCGTGTTGATGTTTGTCATTCATGTTATTCAGTATAGTTTTGTTTGAATATGTTATGCAGGTGATTAGGGTGGTCTTATTTCATGCAAGTAAACACTGAATATAGAGGAAAAACAGTTGAAGAATTTTATCTTAAAATATTCTGAGTTACATTTATACTTAAATTCCTTTTTTTTTTTTTTGCAATATGAAACCTTACCTGATTACATAAACTCCTTCTCACAGATGGTCCAAGACATCACTTATGAACCGGGTGACCTAACCTGCGCCGGCCTTTCCCCTGTAAAGACTCTCGTGACCCTGGGATCTACATCAGGTCAGCTGGTGGTCAATAAATACCCTCTGCACATGGCACAGAAGTTCACGGCATTTCCGGCACACAGTGGCTCTTTGAACAAGGTGTTTTATTTCTGCATTAATGTTTGTTATATCAACCGTCTGGTCTTGATGACTGGTAATATGAATAAAGTTATTTTCCATGTCCGTGTGCGAATACCTCTATATCTTTATACATATGATATATATATAGACTAATAGAGATATAGAGTCAGACAAATCGATAACGGAATAGAGAATACAGACAAACAAACAGAAAACATATGCACATAAAAGAAAAAGAGGAGACAGGCAAGTTACCTCGTTAATTCCTGCGCGCTCCTCATTTCCCTCTCATTTCCCCTTCATTTCCCCTCAGGTGCTGGTGACGGGCGACGAGAGCAAGGTGGTGACGTGCGGCGCGGACGGCGTGATCCTGGTGTGGCGAGTGGCGGCCTTGGAGGAGGACTCCCCGGGGTACCTGGCGGCGAGAGAGAGGCTGGAGGACTTGCCTCGCGTCCCGGAGATGCTGGTGACCCGAACTGACCTTCAGGTGAGTGGATTTCTCTCCTGCCCGTTTGTTTTTGCCAATTCTCTGGTCCCACTCCACTGTATGTCTCGTATCCATTACGTTAATTCGTCCTTTTATCCTCCTCCCCCTCCTCTCTATCCTTCTCTTTTTTCTTCATCCTTTCTTCTTCTTCTTTCTCCTCCAACCTCTGTCTCCACCTTCACCTTTACTACCACGTCCTCCTCCTCCTGTTCCTTCCCCTCCTCCAGAAAACGCGCCACCACCTGGAGGAGCTGGAGCGTCGCGTCTCCTACCTGTCCAGGGACAAGGAAGTCCACCTGGGTCTTCAGCAGCAGGAGTTCGCCGCGAGCAGGGATGCTTTGGTGGCCCGATACCAGACGATCGTCGACCAAATGAACGACACGATACAGGTATAGCACTCTTTTGTACGTGTGATTGTAGGTATGATTCCGCATTCTGTATGTTTGTGTGGTTTGCTATTATGGTGGTGTGATACTTTGATTTTTTTTTTACACTGTTAGGACAGGGTTGAGGAGAGTTTACAGAAATGATAGGGGTTAAATGGAAGGTAGTCCCTCCCGTTGTTGAATTTAGAGCGTTTGGATTTGTTCATCTGAGACAAGGACCCGCTGTGTTTTTCCCCGGCATCAAACACTAACACAAAGAGATCCTTCCCTTCTTAGACCCTGGAGAAGGAACGCGAGCAGCTCAAGGACGGTCACAAGGGCTCCTTGGCCAAGCTCGCCGATGAGCACAGCAATGTCATGGCAGAACACCAGCAGGAGTTGAGGAAGAAGCTCCTCTACGAGTACTCGAAGCAGGACAAACTCGAGGCCAAGCTGAAAGAGATGCAACAGACGCTCGACAGGTGAGACCATGGATCGATCTCGGGGCAGCTAGCGTTTCGTTCCACTAAAATACGTTAATTCATTCAAATCGGATTCGTTTTTATGGTATGAGATAGTTGTTTTCATAGTGAGCTACCTGTATAATTTGGCGTGTCACTGTCTGGATATCATCTTTATTCATATAAAGTTGAATTAAAGTAGAAAATAAACATTTGTGTTAGCACTAAAGCCATCTATAAAAGCCCCAAAACAGCACAACTTTATCAGAAATAAGTCCTGGGAATTCCACTAGTTTCTTATAATTCTCTGTCTTTTTTTTATAACACTGTATAGACCATTATAACGAATGCCTTAGCCTAGCCGAGGGCGTGTAAGGCACAATGCATTGTCAATTAATATGGGTGAACCTTCAGACAAGTCGAGGAAGCAGAGAAGAGGACCCGCCTGGAGCTGCAGGAGAGGCTGGACCAACAAGAAGGGGTCGTTGAACAGCTCAAGATGGATCTCGAGAAGGTATGGCAAAGCGAAGAATTAATATTATTCTACAACCTTGATCTGTGATGGTTTTTAAAATCTACGCATCGTGATCGGATGTTTTCAGTTACTAGGCTGTGAATTCTTTTTGGGATACGTGCCAGAAATGCTGTAGATTATATTAGCGCAAATAGCTATAGCGCAAATAGCTATCATGAAATTAATGGTAGGCTTATACATACCATTATGTCCAAATATGATTATGTTGCCCCTTTTTCCCGAGGGACAATACACAGAGCACTCTGTGGAGATAGACTGGGACACAATGTATATAGAATATTACAGACGGATAGAAAAACAATATCTATGGTTTTGTGGGTTAAAAATGGCTGAAAGCTGTAGCATAAATCATTCTGATTAATTTGCATTTGTGAATTGTAACGCAACTCATATAAGGATCACACTGAACAGTAAGACGTAATAAAAACTAGAATAAGGCTTTGCTATTAGTTTTACCTGCAGTTAGGCAGCACAGAGATCTAGTATTATGCTACGTGTGAACCTTCCATAATAATCTTGTTATAACACATTGTAGCTGCTTTTCAGACTAACCAATGTGAGGTATAAAGATTAGTTCACATTACTCCATTACAGTGAAAACTATACTTTACTGTAACCCAGTTTTATTATGCCATCGCGTAACTTTTAGGGTAGTAAAAAAGGCGTTGCTCTAAGGACTAAACTAAAATAGAATAAACAGGGAATAAATTATAAAAGACAAAAAAGAGCACGATTTCAAAAATGGCTTACCTCTACCTGCCGTTTTCACCTCCACCTCCGACAGACAACGGCGGAGCTTGAACGCGAGAGGAGCGAAGGAGCGGAGATCGTGCGCCTGGTGGAGGCGGCGACGGAGGCCGAACTAGGCCAAGTAAGGTCGAGTCTGCACGCCCAGCTGGCGGAGGAGCACCAGAACGTCATCAGACTGCGCAGTGAGATGGCAGCCATGAGGAAGAACTTCGTCACGTGAGTTAACTTCCGTTCTTCTGTTCGCATTTCTGAGTCTGGGTCGTGGAAGGGCGTCGTGCTAACATGAACAGTTGTAATACTAGTTCCAGTGGCTGTAACATCAGTTTAAAACACTCGACTAAATTAAATCTAATCCCTTTGAACTATGAAACTTAAAAAGCACTGTAATCGTTTTCGAATAGAACTACAAATGAAAAATGTAATTCTTCCTATACATCAGAAACTCTAACAATGTCCACAAATCGACAAATCTCATCCTCAATCTCCCAGAGTGCAGAGGGAACGAGAGCAGAAGGAGGAGGACCTGAGGGCGCTGACGGACGACAAGACGAAGCTGCAGTCGTCCATTCGAGGTCTTGAGCGCGAGCTGGCTGCCCTCAGGCGCGAGGTCAACCACAGGGACGACATCATACACGACCGGGTCAGTCGTCTTCGTGGCCGTATTGGATAGGAGATATATATGTGTTAACTGGTCTTTATGGATGAACAAGCAAATTTAACAGTTTTACTAGATGTATTTGTTTAGATAGTAAATTGACATAAAGTACACTGATAAAACGTCAAAGGCAATTAGTGCTACGAAGGGGAGATACAAAGATAATTTTCGAACAAAGTAATAAATGCTTTGTAACTCACTTGTCGATACAGCCACGATCAATGTCATGCGAGGGAGAGAGAGAGAGAGAGAGAGAGAGAGAGAGAGAGAGAGAGGGAGAGAGAGAGAGAGAGAGAGAGAGAGAGAGAGAGAGAGAGAGAGAGAGAGAGAGAGAGAGAGAGAGAGAGAGAGAGAGAGAGGCAGACAGACAGACAGAGACAGACAGAGACAGATGTAGAGAGATGAAAAACAGACAGAGAGGGGGAAGAGAGAGAGGGAGGAAGAGAGAGAGAGAGGGAGAAAGAGACACGCAGACAGACATACAGACAGAGATAGAAACAGGCAGAGGCAGATAGAGAGAGGGAGACAGACAGACAGACAGACAGACGAACAGACAGACAGAGAGGGAGAGAGGGAGAGAGAACGAATGGAGGAATAAAAAGAAATGCCAAAAAAACATGTGTCCTTAGTTCGAACGGCGATTCGAAAACACAACAGATTCATAACAAAGGGCCTTCCCGACGTAAACAAAGAAACAAACCAATAGGTTTGCTCTCTGACTCGCTTCCCTCCAACCCAACCTTCAGGAGAGCAAAATCACCAACACAAGGGAGAGAATCGGGGAGCTCGAGAAGCAGAGGTTCCTCCTCGACCATCAACTCGGCCAACTCAAGGAGGAGCTCGAGCCACTGCAGGCGGCGCTGGATCAGAGGTCCCAGCAGATCAAGCAGGTAAAAGGACACATGTAAAAGTGTTGTTTTGTGATTTCTGTTAGTGTTGATATTGTAGTGAATTTTCCCTGGCTCCAAGCGGGTCACATCGCAGGCTTTTAGGCCGCATGTTCCCCTGATATTACGGATCTCTATTGAAAATTTACGGACTACTCTGCCCTGCAAGATGACGTGGCTTTGTTGTTTTCTTGTATTTGTCTTTGTTTTTTTAATAAGAATAAATCTGTTACTTTATATCATTTGACTTACCTTTCCCATTGGTGTGTGATATACATCTACATGTACACTCTTCCTACTGTACGTAACACTACTTATACACTACTTACCTTACGTTCCATACTTACCTTGCCTTATTCTTGCCTTTTCGCCTTCGACAAATTCACCTTAGCTTTGTTTCTCCTCGTGTTTTCCCGTTTACCCTCGCGGATCCCTTCTTTCACTTTTTCATACTTTACTGTCATTTATATCTTTCATGTTCCCATTTTTGTAGAGTTTATTATTCTTTTTATTTTATGTATTTTTAAGCTTGTTTTAAATTCACCGTACACTATTTGATAGATGAAATAAACTACATTATGGGTAAAATATCACCAAGTGCGAGAGGCCACCAGTATAAAAGGTCAAGCCAGGTCGGTTAGGAGAGACCTTTGGAGTATTAGCTGGCTGATTTGTGCGTAATGAATGTATAATAAGGATGTTCCTTTTATATTGTCTTTTTAGTCAGCCACTGATGTTATTTTATTGTTTCTACGGGATCATATTAAAATCACCTGAGAGTTTTCACCAAAATGCGCTAAACCCGCATGGACATTACATGTAGTTGAGTAACACGTTACCAAACCAACATCTTTAACTCTACGGACTTCGATTATCCACTACATATATAATTCCTCCTTTCCTCATTCGCTCTTTCTTTCTCTCTCTCTGCCTCTCTCTCTTCCTCTCCATTTCCCTTACCCTCTCCCTCTACCTCTCTTTCTCCCTCCCTCCCACCCTCACCCCATATATCTCCTTTTCCTTCCCTCATTCCCACCCTCTCCCTCATCCTCTTCTCTCTCTCTCTCTCTCTCTCTCTCTCTCTCTCTCTCTCTCTCTCTCTCTCTCTCTCTCTCTCTCTCTCTCTCTCTCTCTCTCTCTCTCTCTGCCTCCCACCCTCACCCATTATCACTCCCTCTCCGTCTCCTTCTCCCCGCAGATGGAAGAGGAAATGAGCGAGACGCGGCTGGTGGTGAGCGCCCGGGACCGTCAGGTGAAGGAGCTCGGGCAGCGGCTGGTGACGGCGGGGCAGCAGTCGCGGCATTTGCAGCAGAGGAACCACAACCTTGCGACGACTCTCACGCGCGTCTTGGCCGATCTCGCTTCGGCAACGCACCTCATTCATCATCCGAAGAAGCTCAAAGATGCTATTAAGGTTGATTTTTTTTTCTCTCTCTCTTTTCTTTTCTTTTAAAAAAGGAGATTTTTTTCCCTTGTGAAGGTTGATTTTTTTCTATATATTAGGAGGGGGGGGGCTTGTTGTTGTGTTTCTTAATTCTATTTTCGTTAATAGAGTATCTATTACTTTTATTGGAACGATTATTATTTTAGCCAACGTGAATGGTAAAAAAAATCAATTATTTTGTTGTTCTAATCGTAGTATTATGAAAAATACTAACAACAGCACATTTTCCTTATCTCTCCACTTCAAATTGATATGGCTAACACAACTAAAATTGTGACTCGTCCCCCCCCCCCCCCCCCCCACCGGTTTCGAATTACAACAATCAGTTCACTTGTTTTTACTCACTTTGTAACTAATTCATTTATATTATAATTACCTTTTCTTAATATAATTTTAAGACTGTCTCTTGACTTATGTATTTTGACTACCTTTTTTTTCTCTCCCATTTTCTTCTTTTTCTTTTTTTCTTTTTTTTCTTTGCCAAAGACTCTGAACGACAAGTACGTTCAGAGCGGACGATTGAAGGAGTTCTGGACCCGACCTGATTTGGACAAGATTGCCACCTCTTCTGCTGACGACATGGCCAAAGTAAGTGAAAATCTCTTGCTCTCTCTCTCTCTCTCTCTCTCTCTCTCTCTCTCTCTCTCTCTCTCTATATATATATATATATATATATATATATATATATATATATATATATATATATATATATATACATATATACATATATATATATATATATATATATATATATATATATATATATATATATATATGTGTGTGTGTGTGTGTGTGTGTGTGTGTATGTATGCCCTTTTGTGTGTGTATGTGTGTGTGTATGTTTGCGTGTGTGTGTGTGTGTGTGTGTGTGTGTGTGTGTGTGTGTGTGTGTGTGTGTGTGTGTGTGTGTGTATGCCCTTTTGTGTGTGTATGTGTGTGTGTATGTTTGCGTGTGTGTGTGTGCGTGCGTGCGTGTGTGTGTGTGTGTGTGTGTGTGTGTGTGTGTGTGTGTGTGTGTGTGTGTGTGTGTGTGTGTGTGTATGTGTGTGTGTTTAACTAACTCCATCTCTATCTCTCTATGTCTCTACTTTCGCTCCTATTAATTCACAAATTCCCTAGCACATAAAAAAGAAATAAAAAAAAGAATGCCAATGGCTCTCTAAACTGAAAATCCTCGTCAACACTTACTCACGAAACACAAATAAAAGTTCCATAACTCACCTAACTCCCACTTCCTTCCAGGCCGATTCGATGGGCGAGGAAGCGGTGCCGGAACTCCTGCGCCAGAGGGAGATGCTGGAGCGATCTGTGGCGACCCTCCGTGCACAGGCGCAGAAGCAGGCGCGAGCCAGCAAGGACCGGATCACCACACTCGTTAAGGTTGTTTGCCGTTACCTGGGCCCTGCGTTCGGGGCGGTTGTTATTATCCTTTCTGGTTATTATTGTTATCGTTATTATTATTATCACAATGATTATATTGATAATGATGATGATAATAGTAATGACTGTAATGATGATGAAGATAATGATGATAATGATAATTATGATAATAACAATAATGAAAATTATACTACTGATTGTAATAATAGTGATAATAATAATGATATATAAGATAAAATTTTCCCCTGGCACAAGCGACTATACTGTGAATGCTCTCTCTCTCTCTCTCTCTCTCTCTCTCTCTCTCTCTCTCTCTCTCTCTCTCTCTCTCTCTCTCTCTCTCTCTCTCTCTCTCTCTCCCTCTCTCCCTCTCTCCCTCTCTCCCTCTCTTTCCCTCTCCCTCCCTCTCCCTCCCTCTCTCTCCCTCTACCTCTCTCTCTACCTCTCTCTCTCCCTATCCCTCCCTATCCCCCCCCCTCTCTCTCTCTCTCTCTCTCTCTCCCTCTCTCTCCCTCTCTCTCTCTCTCTCTCTCTCTCTCTCTCTCTCTCTCTCTCTCTCTCTCTCTCTCTCTCTCTCTTCCTCTCTATCCCTTTCTCTCTCTCTCTCTCTCTCTCTCTCTCTCTCTCTCTCTCTCTCTCTCTCTCTCTCTCTCTCTCTCCCTTTCTCTCCCTTTCTCTCTCTCTCTCTCACTCTCTCTCTCTCTTGTAATAATAGTGATAATAATAATGATATATAAGATAAAATTTTCCCCTCGCACAAGCGACTATACTGTGAATGCTCTCTCTCTCTCTCTCTCTCTCTCTCTCTCTCCTCTCTCTCTCTCTCTCTCTCTCTCTCTCTCTCTCTCTCCCTCTCTCCCTCTCTCCCTCTCTCCCTCTCTCCCTCTCTCCCTCTCTTTCCCTCTCCCTCCCTCTCCCTCCCTCTCTCTCCCTCTATCTCCCTCTACCTCTCTCTCTCCCTATCCCTCCCTACCCCCCCCCCTCTCTCTCTCTCTCTCTCTCTCTCTCTCTCTCTCTCTCTCTCTCTCTCTCTCTCTCTCTCTCTCTCTCTCTCTCTCCCTCTCTCTCCCTCTCTCTCCCTCCCTCTCTCTCTCTCTCTCTCTCTCTCTCTCTCTCTCTCTCTCTCTCTCTCTCTCTCTCTCTCTCTCTCTCTCTTCCTCTCTCTCCCTTTCTCCCTGTTTCTCTCTCTCTCTCTCTCTCTCTCTCTCTCTCTCTCTCTCTCTCTCTCTCTCTCTCTCTCTCTCTCTCTCTCCCTCCCTCTCTCCCTCTCTCTCTCTCTCTCTCTCTCTCTCTCTCTCTCTCTCTCTCTCTCTCTCTCTCTCTCTCTCTCTCCCTTTCTCTCCCTTTCTCTCTCTCTCTCTCACTCTCTCTTTCTCTCTCTCTCTCTCTCTCTATATATATATATATATACATATATATATATACATATATATATATATATATATATATATATATATATATATATATATATATATATATATATATATATCAATCTCCCCTTCTCCCTTTAACTTTACAGCAAACCCCACGTTTTCTTGAACTATACAAGTTATCCCTACTGCAAACTACGTTTTCTTTACGGTTATGACGTTGCGTTTTCTATGGCATTTTTTCATATATGGTATCCTAAAACAGCATTAAGATCATGATTATGAACACTATGAAAATAATACTGATATATCTAAGACAGCAATCAAAACTGTAATTCCTCAAATTTCTTTTTTTGTATTTTTGTATTTTTGTAATTACCTCGAGAATTGTTATTATGTTATATTTCCCCATCATTTTTTAATCAAAATTAACATCTCACAGGTTCTTCCTTTTAAGTTGCTTGTGATAATTTCTCCACGCACTAAAATGCCTTTCGCGCTCTCCTTCCTCCAGGAGAACAGCGACCTCCTGTCCTCCGTGAAGACGCTGGAATCCCGAAGCTGGCGTCTCGAGGAGGACCTCCGCCAGGCTGAGAGCATGGCAGGGCTGCGGGATCCTCGGTCAGGGCGTCGCAAGGCCTCGAGGGATCTACTAGTGCAGACGGTGACTCGCCAGGCGGACACCATCGCTCGCCTGCAGGACCAGATCAGGACGCTGCAGGAGGTGAGAGACATGTGGGAAGGTTAAAGGAATATGGACACGTGGATCGACTGGATAGGAATGTGGTTGCAGATCGTTACTTTCAATGATAACCGTCGTTCTGTTCAGCTCTTACGGACGTTCTTATGTTAGAAGCACGGACTTCAGTGGTTGTAGTACAGTGCATGAGTCACAGGGGCTACAAAGATTTCTCTCATTTTTCAGTATTATGATATAAAAAGGGATTAAATTTCATAAAATTCGTTTACTAATTAGTTATTAATTTTCGATTTGGAGAAATTATTTGTTAGCCATAATTCAAATCTTTCAGATATTATTATCAACATTAAACTCTTTACACGAATACATCACATCATCCATAGAGGCAAATGCTGTGAAGTTCATTCACAGTTCTCCTCAACACATCTTTTATTGTATAATTATCCGTTAACAACCCTCCTTCCTACATACCATGCATATTAGTATACCATACCATATCATGCATATTAGTATACCATACCATATCATGCATATTAGTGTACCATACCATATCATGCATATTAGTATACCATACCATATCATGCATATTAGTATACCATACCTACATGTATATTAGTATACCATACCATACCATGCATATTAGTATACCATACCATACCATGCATATTAGTATACCATACCATATCATGCATATTAGTATACCATACCATATCATGCATATTAGTGTACCATACCATATCATGCATATTAGTATACCATACCATATCATGTATATTAGTATACCATACCATACCATGCATATTAGTATACCATACCATACCATGCATATTAGTATACCATACCATATCATGCATATTAGTATACCATACCATATCATGCATATTAGTATACCATACCATACCATGCATATTAGTATACCATACCATATCATGCATATTAGTATACCATACCATACCATGCATATTAGTATACCATACCATACCATGCATATTAGTATACCATACCATATCATGCATATTAGTATACCATACCATATCATGCATATTAGTATACCATACCATATCATGCATATTACAACCATTCACTCACAAGTACCTCTTTAATACAATACACCGTGGAATCATTCAACACCCTTCATTCCTAACTCAATCATTAATCAATCAACAGAACCAACGGAAGGAAGAGGGAGGCGACGAAGACGACCAGACCGGCGACGCGAAACCTAAGCCAGCGGAGTCAGAAGACGTCGATGGCGCCAAGCAGTCTATCGCGCCACAAGAGGAACCGGCGGCGGTGCCAGCTGCAACGGCGTAGCTTTTATTTTTTTCTACTTATTAAGTGTTAGTGTTATTATTATTATTATCATCATTATTATTATTATTATTATCATTATTATTATTATTATTATTGTTACGATTATTGCTATTATTACTATTATTTTTTATCATTATCATTATTATTATCAATATCGGGGAAGTGAAGTGAAAAGATGGAGGACAAGCACACGTATTGCATAAAATTGATCAGAAGCATACGTGACGGGAAGAGGTTTTGTATGAGGAATAAAGAAAACAAAAATATATATTGTCTTAGAAGTAATTGACGCTATGAAGAGGTAATGCATTAGAGAGATGGGAAGAAAAAAGGTAACAGGCCTAAAGAAATTAAGAACACAAGGTACTATATTCAAGAGAGGAAAATAACAGGTACTGTATTCGGAAAATGAAAGAACACATGTGTCATATAGATGGAGAACAAGAATATATATTAAGAAAAGGTGTATTAGAATGACGTAGGGCAAGAAGAGATATCGTGAGAGAAATACGTGGGAAAAGGATACATATGTATTATAAAAGTGAAGGACAAGTAAGGGTAAGGTATTATAAAGATGTAGATGACAGATTTCATTACAGATTGGAAATTAGATACGTTATTAGAAACGTAAAGAAACAGGATATATATATATATATATATATATATATATATATATATATATATATATATATATATATATGTGTGTGTGTGTGTGTGTGTGTGTGTGTGTGTGTGTGTGTGTGTGAAAATGTGAAGGGCAAGGAAATGTGTCAGAAAGGCAGACGAGAAGAATATATGTTCAAAACATTATCAGTCATTATGGTATGTATATTATAAGTGTTATAGAACGGGTACTTTGAAAATATATTTATAGAGAGTGTGTATAAAGCCATGTTCGTAATGAATATTATAGTCTGCTGCAATAATGATATTGCTTTGTTGAATAAACACAAACCAGAAACAATTAAAACGAATGTGTATTTTTTCGACCGAAGAAAGGGAAAGAAAGTAACAAGAATTTGGTCGGGGGTGGGGGGGCTGAAAAAAGGGAAAGAAAAGACACATATGAACTGACTGAACGATAAACCAAATCTTACATAACACTAGGACATGGAAAAATACATCGTATAGTGAATATGTTTATGTGAAATTTCTCATAAAAAACACGCAGAAAAAAACTAGGAGGTTTAATTATAAATAGACAATTGTGCTTAAATCCCAATCATTCATTGTTTACACATATATGGTCTATGAAAATTAATATATGTA